CTAAACAACCTTCTGAACTCTGCCCCACTTCTTAACTTGCGAATTCTTTCGAATTGCACCCGATGGGGCCTTGGTCCGGGCGACTTTTGAGTTCACTCGAAGTTACAGAAGAGGTTCAACCTAGCTTGCTCTTTGTTGCCACACTTTGTTCAACTGTTAGGCCACGTTCCCTCTGCTCCACGAAAAGAAAGCCAGAAACGTAGGGTAAGAACAAGTCTTACGTCTATCTTTTTACTTGCACGCACGTCGCTTACCAGTACTGTGGCTTTTCGTCGTCGAGATGATTCTTTCTCGACACTGCATCTCTTTCGTCCCTTGCGCCTGACTGTACGCGTTAATGGACGTTCTCTCGAGCTATGCGCTGTAGCTGTCCTATCGTTTGGTCCTGCTGGCTGCGGGGAGAAAGTTTTCTCAAGTCTCTTATGCGAAGACTGCGTTATACTCTTCCTTTTTCTGAGGTTTCTGCTACCACCTTTCTTAGTTGCCAGTTTCAGGATAGTAAACTCCGATCTATCATTAAACAGGCACTTATCGGGCTTAAATGCCACCCCATTTGCATCTGTAGGAGATACCAAAGAGTCGCCCTATTTTTGAGGCACCTCCACCTTGCGTCTGACCTCTTTACGACTGCTGGAAACTGCCTCGTCTCCACAAGAACACCTCTCTGGGCTTTTTTCTGAACCATCTTTATGCACAGCGACGTTATGTCTAGCCACTACTACTTCCTCGGTTGCAATTCGAAAACGCGCCACGCTGGGGTCTTTCTTTTGCTCGATTGTGAATCTCTGTTCACTTTCTAAAGCCTCTCAAAACCATGCAAACCCCTAGCCAGCACTAGTCCTTTCTAAACTCTCTCCGCTTCTTTGTACTGTCGCGCCCCCTTATCTGTACTATGGCTGGTGTCAGTTAAAAGTGGGTGCTCCTCGACAGTACTGCTCAACTTTTGAAGAGTCACATTCTCATTATCCTCTAGGTCAACTTTGCCTTTTCTCTCCACTTTCCGAAAATCATTTAAGTGCTCAGGCACGAGGAATATTTCGAGCTCCACATTAACCCTTTTCGAGCTGCTGAAACAAGCCTGGGCCCTGCAAAAAACACTCTCCTGAAACCTCTCTGGCTCTAGACCAGCGACGGCCTCATCCTGCACGTGCTATACTTAACCCGCTTGTAAGGACATGCATCTTCCCCTAACAGGTTCTCACTACTCACGACCTGTTTCTCCTTCTCGATAACTGAAGGTTTACCTGTGTCTCACTTTCACCTTCCTCTTTCTCAACCGAAATAATGAAGTGCCGGAATAATGCTGCCTTAGCGATTTTGTATTTCTCGAACTCCTTGTTAAAAAGGCAAGCAAATACACGGGCCAGGTTACCTGGAAGAACGCATAATAAACCAACAATCCAAAAGTCACGGTCTAGCCCTACCTCTGTGCAAGCACACTCAGAAGACGCAAGAAAACTTTCTATGTTTTCGTTGACTTTGAATGCGCGTAGCTTAGACCCCACTTGCTGGACCCGCACATGTTGGATTTTTCTTCCATGGCCTTCCGTCTGAACTCTTTGCTCACCTTCACTCTCAAGCTCGCTTGCTCTTTCAGGAGTATCAGTTACTGCTCCTTTAACAGCTAAACACTGTCTCTCAACTTTGAGCTCTAACCTCCTAATTTCAATTTATTTCCTTTCTTTTTCAAACAGTTTCAATTCTTCCTCCTTCCTAGTTTTTTGAACTAGGTCCAGGTCCGAAGCGATTTCTATGCTTTCCGCACTGCTACCACTTTTGCATATTATTTTCTTAGCTAGATCTCGCTTTTTCATACCTTCTGCATATTAAAGTTCTAACTCTTGCACAACCTCCACAATTCTGTCCTCCTCAACTTCATTAGGTTAATGGTCACTGCAGTTAAGCATTTGCTTTGTCCTCTCAATGATGCTAAAGAAGCCGCGGGCCCCGCCGCGGTGGTCTAGTGGCTAAGGTACTCGTCTGCTGAACCGCAGGTCGCAGGATCGAATCCCGGCTGCGGCCGCTGCATTTCCGATGGAGGTGGAAATGTCATAGGCCCGTGTGCTCAGATTTGGGCGCACATTAAAGAACCCCAGGTGGTCGAAATTTCTGGAGCCCTCAACTACGGCATCTCTCATAATCATATGGTGGTTTTGGGACGTTAAACCCCACACATCAATCTATCAAGGAAGCCACACTTTGCAACAAAAGATTTCTCACTTCCCAGAAATTCAAACTGCTAACCCAACATTTCAAAAGCCTGGCAAATTTCAATGCAAAAACCAAATGCTCACCAGCAATAGCAGTGCCATGTCACCAGGTCCAACCCATCTGCTGACCACCAAATCCCAATTGTCAGCAGCATGCCACCGCTGCCATCCAGTTTTGAAATCTTGGTTTGACCAGGATCTACCTCGCTGCTATACGCTGTTGTACCCGGGGTTTGACAGGATCCCCCCGCTGATATATTTGTTGTCGATGTGTTTGAACTTTGCGACTGGAGACTCGAGAGGAAGACGCCGAGCATGAAGAGACTGATGAGGAAAACTGTACAGAGGTTTATTTTACATTATTTACAAGCGAGTATTTCTCGCCACATCATGAGCATCTAGACGATGATGTCCTCCTACATTGTGACAATCTCACCAAAGGCTCTCTCTAAGGTCCACCGCAGCTAGTTATCAAGAGTCATCTTTTCTCCTCACCTTTAGATCGGTGATTGGCTCTAAACCTCTGTTGTCTCTTCCATGGAGTGACAATGCCACTGAGTACTGGGTTTTAGGCTCGTACTACCGCCGCACTACCACGAACATCAAAGGACCCCCATTCGCCACGCTCATTTTGCGGAGTTGATTGTTATTCATGCTGATGCCACCACCTCTTGAAGCAAGCTATCTCAACCGAAGTCTCCTTGTGTACTTTGCCGTATCGCGACTGCATGCACCTCGCTTCCAGGCTGGGAAGATAATACCCATATTTGGACGGCTGTCAGCAGGCCCGCATCCTTTCAGCAACTTGTTCGCAGAACCGTGAACACCCCTTTTTGCTTGACTTGTGAGGGTGTTGACATCCCCCTGTAAAGTTGTTTGCGCCGCCTGGTGCACGTGTTTCGTGCAGAAGCCGTATTTCGGGGTCACAACTATTGAGCGGTAGGTGGCATTGTGTACGCGAGAGTTGACCACCGCTACCATCATCATCATGATTAAAAAACATTAGCTCAGGTGGCGACGCCTGGCGGAAAGTTTTGGTGGCGGCGCGCAAGAAATAAGCTGGTCTTTGTTGGCGTGAACGGTTGCCTCCAGCGGTGGGTCTGCCGTAGACGGCACCGCGGGCTGTCTGCGGTGGGCCCACATGGCGAGTCAGGCGTTAGCGACACCGCCTTGTTTGTCATGTTGTTGAGTGTTGTTTAATATTGTGTAAGGATGTCTTAGCGCGTTTATCACGATTGATGGTACAATAATTCGGCTGACGATATCGTCGTTCTAAATGTAGTTAAATGAATGTGTGTTTGGCTTGGTTTGGTCCGACCGCGTCTGTTGTGTCCGTTCACTCCAAGAGCATGATGGATCTCGCCATTTCAGACCCTACAGGCTCAAGCCCCGATCCTAACCATGAACTACGAAAGCACTGACGGGTACTACTTTGCAAGTAAAACAAGGCGAGTTACAACTGAAAAAAATTTGGCAAATCTCATGTACCTTAGAAGTCGATGTTATGCGAAGCATGAGCACGAAACGTGACTGTGTAGTAATTTTTGTATTGAGAGAAATATTATGAAGCGGCGCTGAAGATTTGTATGAATGCATGCACAGACATACGTTAAAGAGCCGCAAATGTTTTATATAACCAGCTATTTACAATTGCATAATGATGACAATAGCAACATGAGCTTTAGCAACACTAGAAGCGGTAAGCCGATATGAAGTGCTGGTGCTTGCGAGGATGGACACTGCCACACAAATCAACTTTCACGAATGGCACTTAACTAAAACTGATGTTAACCCAATGTGATGGCACTGCAACCACAATTGACGTTTTACGAATATTAGGGTCTATTTAAAAAGTAGTTCCGAGCCCTGGGGTAGCTCTTTGGTATAATAATTGATTGTGGTGCAAAATGCTGGGGTTCAATTTCTGCTGAGACCCTGACATTTATTCTTTGCATTCGTTCATTAGAAAAGGCTACCAACGTCAGCTTTTTCTAAATGCTCACGCAACAAAATTGCCCGTCTCTGTCCCCGCTGTTCGTGGGTGGATATAAAGTGCCAATAACCAGTAGCACACGCTCGCATACCAGTGGCACATTCCCGCCCGTAGGTCTGTGTCACTGTCTGGTGGACAATGTTTGATGATGTAGGTGATGGGATTGTGACGTGTCATGACCAACGAGTCGTATTCGTAAAACCATATTACCCTTCCATAATAATTTTGGTTTACACTAAATTAAGAGGGTGATAGATGGGTGGTAGGTGGCTAGATAGATAGATAGACAAATATATACAGAGACGCTCAAAGTGCCTGCGGTACGCAAGGAAATTCCTTGCATTTAAAAGTGAGACAATAAAATTGAACTAAGCTACGTACCTATAGAAAACCTCACAGAGCTGACATGTGTACGCTCTAAGCTATCATTGAAAGCTGAAGTTGCCTCGCATTTTCACGAAAACTTGGCATCTCGCAAGAATGAATAAGATTTATTGTGTCATGGAGGGCCCAGTTTGTTCACTGATGCAGGAAAGATGCCAAGTCGTCGCGTTTGTTTCTTGCTGAATCTAGCACAGATGAACAAGGAAGACTGACCATTCTTGAGAGGATGCTCCTGAATTCTGCTTAAGGGCACGAAAGGCTACGGGCATTGCCAATTGCGACAACGCTCTGTCACTCGCTGAGAGGTGGAAGTAAGTGGGATTAAAGTAGTTAACTGATTTATGGTCCCCTCATATCGTAATGCAGCCCCACCAGCATAATGCACTGCACTGCCATAGACAGAACAGTTGATATTCTCTGAGAACACTCTTTTATTCAAGTATTATTTAACATTTAAAATGTTTGTATTTTGACACAATCTGTATGACAAGGCGATATTAGAAATTATTACACTTATTAACACAATTATTCAAAAGCTTTCATGACTGAAAAAATAAGCCCACTAAAATGCTGCCCTCGATGAATTGCAGCTGCCTTTGCGACGTGAAAAAGGAGGGCATAGAAAAAACTCACACAGAAAGAAATTGTTGCAACAGAACACAAATAATTAAATAACACATCAATAGCAGCAACACCCAAAAACAGATGATGTTATGAGTCACTTTTTCAGGCTACATTGTAAGGCGACATAGTAAAAACACATCTGTCACAAATGTGAAACTTTGCGAACTTTCCATTTCCAAGAACAAGAGTAGTGACTGTAGACATTAGAAATGCTACTGGGCCAATAGCTGCCCATTAATGGGGTCCAACTTTCCTGCTATTTATTTATAGCATGAACTTCACATGAAACAGTGTGATGGACAAAGCAGTACACAATACTAAACACAGAAGAGAGTATGCTCACACGACAATTAAAATAGGAAAATTAGCTGTTTTCTTAAATTGGCCTCATGGCTCAAGTCTCGCTGTGGCTTCAACGACTTGCAATAATGCTACAAGCTTAACTGAATCAGACACTTCGGTGTAAAGTGTATGAAAGTGCAATGCTGATTCTGTTAAGGTAAATCTCACCTTTTTCACAACTTTTAAATGTCTGAGGAACCATATAGTCAAACAAGTTGGAACTTCGTTTCTTGCCTGAGCCAAACTCCATTCCAACTTGTAATTTTATAAACTGTAATGGTTACTATGTTGCAAGATGCATGTCTGGTTAAGTCAGAAAATTTGTTGCAGCCACTCATCAGAAGTATCAGATGCATTAACGAGTCGTTAATCGACAGACGTCGCTCTAACGCACCCACAATGACTCAGGGACAGCAAACCACCATCAAATCACTGGCTGCTTGAATAGTTACTGCTTAGATACTCATTCTGACTTAACAGCATAGGGAATTATTTACTTGCAAGAGCCTCAAGTACATGCCATCTGGCTAATCCAACAGACCGAATTTCTGAATTTCCCACTGCTTCAAAGACGTATCATGCTTCGTGACCTTTCAAAGGGCCGTGATCCCAAGAATCAAAATCACCATGTCGACTAGTTACCCAATGAATACCTAAGTCTCACCCTCATCACATGTTATCTAGATCAGATCTCACAATATTAAATGGTCTTCACTATGCACATTCCATAAGCTTGCACAAAGTTTCGACCTCTTTCGCAACAACTGCTTTCTCAATTTATGCACGATGCCACTACTATTGACATCATCAGCATCACTTATATATGATATGCCTTCATGTCAACGAATCGCCTGGTGCAGACTCTTTAAAATATCAGTGATGATCAACGAGGCAGTTAAGGAATACAGGTGTACATGTGCTTTGTCAGACAATTAGGTTAACTCTGTCGAGAATTGGCTTACACATCACAAGAACTATAAGCGCTTGTATCAACAGAAATTTTAGCCCCTTTCTACTGTTTTTAGCAACAGCATGCAAAGTTGCAATGAACGATCCACAGAAATAGTGGCGCATGCTATTTTGTGCACAATTTTTGGCTAATTTTCTCTTTCAGGTGTGACATTTAGGATGACAAATTAGGTCGTACTTCTGCATTGGTTCCTGCTTCTTTGAGCAATAATGCAACAACCTATGAGGACTCCATTTTTTCAAAAACAGCATTGTTGCCCCCTTTTAGAGATGTCATATTTTCTCGAAGGATCATGTAAATTTGCACATATGAACATCACCAATGGCAAATGATTGATATTTTTTTGATAAAGTCATAGTTAATGCTGTGCTTAATTGCAGCCAAATGCTGATAAGTGTCATGGGGCCTAGATTTTAAATATAATTATATTTTAGATATTTCAGTGATGTGATAGCTGCGCCAATTGCGCCGAACTGCGCCGAAAGGCGAATCCTGCGCCAGCCTGCGCCATTCTGGTCAAATATGAGCAATCTGCGCCGAGTCTGCGCCAGAAGTTGCCATTTGCACTGCCAGTTCTGAAACCGAAACTGGAGCCATTCGTGAACTGCCATGGTTGCTGGCAGGCTCGCCGCGAGAGCAGCCTTGCTCGCTAGGAGGCTCTTGTGATGGTAGTGAGTCACTACTAGTGACGCAGAGACGCTCAACCGCTGAAGCCTCCATGGCCGCATGGCCGCATGCAACATCGGAAATGGCGGGTTGCCGTTCGAAAGCTTCGAAAGGTTGCATTGTCCTATTTGTTTATGAAGTTTCGGCTGGTGCCTCGCAGCAGTCTTGAACCCCCCCTTCCGAGACTCAGTTTATTCCGTGCAGTGCGCCTCGCAGCTACCGTGGTAGCGACCGTCCGTCTCGCGGCCCGAAGAGACGGGCATCGTGATGCATGTACTGCTCGTGAAGCGCGTCAACGAAATTAGGCGGCGTGAATTCATGGCTGTTAAACTGAAATTTCTAAAATAGCGCATGCGCAGCAAGGTTCCGCGAAGCCCCCGCAACAGCTTATCGCTATCAACTTTGCCTGCGTCGAAAGCGCGCGCAAATATCAGTGCCCGGCTGCGACTGCGATTTTGCCCCGCAGAGATAGTGCTTGCGGCCGTACTTACGTTTTGCGTTTTGCGTTAAAAACCTTGGCCGATAATTGATATCTTATTACCCTACGTAACCCTTATTGTGCACGAAACTAACCTTATAATTTCTGCAAGCGAGCCGAGCCCATCGCACACGCATATGCATTTACCAGCTCCGTGGTAGCAGCGTCGCATTTCTCTCGGGGATTTCTAAACTGGTGTTTAAGCTTCTCAAATGAGAGGGCGTGTGTAGGTTTTTCTTAAAATTTTTTATTGCCATGCATAATTTGTAGTTTGTGCTTGACATCTTTGTCATTTGTCCAGTGCGCTGTGGTTTGCGTATGCATAATTTGTAGTTTGGGCTTCATATCTTTGTCATTTGTCCAGTGTGCTCTGGTTTGCGTATGTAACATTGAATCAAGGTTTTATTCTTTGTGAAAATGGTCATCACTTGCCGTCGCACTATGCGATACCGTACGCGTACGCCTGCTCCAAAACCATGCTGACCTGCTCCAAAACATGATTTTAGCTGCTCCAGAAGCTGCTCCAAAGTGGCTTGGGCCAATCACATCACTGTATTTACGTATTAATGCACACACGACCTAATGTGCAGTCTCCTGTAAACGTTCAAGGACAGTCACATTCCTGAACTCCTTAGAACAATATTTATCATGAGAGCCTCCCTGTATGTTCCTCTGTTGGCAACTTTGCTCTAAAATTGGCTCAGAAATTTTAGGAAAAGGCTGTTACAGACGTCGGAAAAACTGACACAGACAGCTAGTCATCTTTACAAATCATACCTGCAATTGTAATGAGAATGTTAATTCAATAACTTGGCAGGAAAAATAGGTGAACAAAACGAACTTTTCCTTTCATGGCGAAAAAATTCGGCACAGCCCGGAATTTCACTGCTTGAAATGCTCATTATTCAACCGCACTAGTTGCCATCAGACATATCTGCTGGGCCCTTGAATCAAAACTCGTGCTATCCATGGGCTTCAGCTCCTAACTGTATTTACTATAGTTTAAAGCTTTCCCAGTCAAGCAAGTCACATGACAACACCAGATATTAGCGCTAGAACTTCAAGGTGAAACTAATGCAACAAGTTGTGCATAATCTGGCCCTTTCGCTCTTTCATATACGTGGTCTGAATCTTCCACAAACAAATTAAACACATTTGGAACACCAGAGTAATTCAAGCACTTGCACACTGTACATAAAGCGCAAAAAATGCATATGTCCTAACAGCAACCAATTGAAACGATTATACACACTTCGTGGGGCCACCTGTAGCCAACACAGAAAAACAAACAATTATAAGTCAAGTGAAACCCCGAACATTGAGAAAGCAGACATCTAAAGAAAAAATAAACTTCAGTTGCATCTGTACAAAATGAGTGAGTTGAATAAAAAAAGTAACAGGTTCCTCATGAAATAGTGCACATATGATTAAATGTGCATGAACACAGGAGGAAATCTGCCACAGAAATTGCGATGCTAATCTTTGTGAAAAAATTTACACTTCCTCCTGACTTTTGAACACAGCTTTGTGAACCAGTGGTCAAAAATAAGCATCACCTCAAAAGCATTCGTTAGAGAGATTCCCGATTCAGTGGAAATTTTGTGCAACACTAAAAGTTAAAGACACTGATTTTCTTCCACAGTTTTCTATGACACACTACTATCACTGAACTACAAACTCTGTGTGATAAACAAAGCCTCAAACGTCGCAAGAACTAGATGAAAAGTACCTAAAATAACTCTGGATGTCACATTTAAACAACTTTCAAGCTTGGTTTAGAAGAAGAGTAGTCATTAGTATTTACATACTAGGAGGAATGTGGACACAGGGACTGGAATGACAACTTTACATTGTCATACATAAAGAATAATGGCAAGATCTACAAGAAGGCACAGGGATCTTCTGTTCGTCATAACTACAGCTTTGAAACTTACTGCCTGATCAAATTACATCCTAAAAGGTCGTACAAGGCACTTCAACTACACACCCACCAGTCAATGCCAAATGACAATCAATGCCATATGCAGCGTAGGTGTGGACAGTGTAGAAATAGAAGATTGATTTTCCTAAAAATCTAGACTGGTCTGGTCTCCAAACGTGTACCAGGAACGAGTGGGCTGCTTATTAACATTCATCGAAACTTTTTTACTGAGAAAGCCAAGGCTAAAAAAACATCATAGGTGCTTCGAGTTGTTCAAATAATGGGTTCCTTTCGTGCATCTAATACTAAATATAAAAATAAATTTTTAGCGATGTCAGTGGTATGTATCTTTGAATAAAGCTAGCTGCACTTGCAGTAGTGTATTTATCAGCCAAATTCACATGCTGTTTCACATTCACAGTGCACCCAATTTCACTCAGTTTGTCAACATAATTTGATATGATTGGACACACATACATAAAAGCAACTTGCAGTGTGAAAGATGTTAGGCACCGAAGCTGCTGTACCTGAGGCCTCTGCAACCGTGAGAACATGCTCACAGAACATAGTGATCGAAACACACTGAAATGCTTCAGTACTTTCCTGGAGCATAGCTAATCAACTGCCACAGTACTAGGCAAACCATGAGCTGAGGCTTCTGAGTGTATAGCTGGCACTGTTGGATGTCTGCACAACGGGCCCTCTCATGCAGGATGTTTCGTTGACTGGGCCCTTAGCAGGAAGAAAAGAAGGTGCTCTCAAGATTTGACTCACAAAGCGTACTTGCTCTGCAACTTTTTGTCACATTGGACCATGAAGGCATTTCTCGTTCATCCACCATGAGAACACCGGTTGCATCTGGCGACAAGCTAGGCACGCAATGTACGACGTTTCCAGTGAGTTGACTCCACACCTGTTGCATTCCTGGACATAGGAAGAACTGGCACAGGCAGAATGTTGCATGGTGAAGTTCTTATAAACACCCTAAGCACTCTTGCTCACAGGTGCCACCTACTGAGACACGATGGACCCCTCTGCTTCCACTCCGACGGTGTAACGCACACTTCCTCAAAGGCTGACGTTGACGCCATAGTGCTGGCCCCGAGGAAGGCCATGTGGACACGATAGGGAGAAGCGTGCACCTGAAACAAAATCACCATGATCACTGAGAAAATTTTTGGTTTGAAAATGATTCGTCTTTCCACATATTTCCCAGTTCATCACAACTGTAGCACTTGCAGCCATGAATGATTCATGTGGTTCACATACTATGAGTGGCTAACTCAACATCAAGTCACTTAAAACAGCAAATGTTTGTCTAATATTTCAAATTGTCTCACAGGCTCCTACACCAAAGTGTGAGGGGGGATTGCATAAGCAGCGGTAATGATAACAGGAAGATAACTTCACGTAGAATGGAACGCAGTTTCCAGAATCAAGTAAGACGCCTACTCAGTTCGGGTTACCCGGACAGCTTGTTTGTGGCAATAGGCAGTACTATGTTAAAGAAGTAAAAGAGGTGAAGTACCACCAACATGGCGGAAACAAGGCAAAAAAAAAAAAACGGTTGTAGCCATGCCCTTTGTGCAAAAGATGTCGCACTCTTTGACGAAGATTGTGCGCAAGCACGGAGTACACGTTGTTCTCACAACTCCCTGCAAACTGGCAAAACTTTGTCTCGTGATAGAATATCGTGGTAGGGGAAGGGTGAACAAGAGCGGTTGCACTAAAAAACATGCCACGCTGTTTGTCCTGTGTACTTCGGGGGTTATGTACATAATACCCTTGAGCTGCGGAAAAGTGTACATCAGCCAGACAGGTCGTTGTTTAAATGATCGACTCCGAGAACATGCGACATTCTTGAAGGTTCTCGCAGGTGGTATGCACTTGTCAATGCACTGCAGAGATTGTGGGTGCAATCCGTAGTTTGGCAGCATGAGGATTCTGGGCGAAGCTAAACACAGACAGACCAGAGAAATCATGGAAGCAGAACAGGTTAGGGCGAATGCAAGCACGTGTATCAGTGTGTGTATCAGTGTTCCTTTGGTAGCACTAAGTGAAAAAGAGGTGTCTTTTTTGAGCTGTTGAAGTAGATAAACATTCCTTTCTTTTTTGGAAAGGGGGGGGGGGGGGCACCTTGAAGTGATAGTTGGTTGCACCTGCACATTTTGTGTTCTCGTGCAATGAATGTTTTCTAAGAAAAGTTCAATTGTAAGTTGAGCATCTTTCCTGTCAGGTGCTTTTTCCTTGTACCTTGTCAGATCATATATTTCCACATTTCTTGACTTGAGCCAGCGTGGCTGGGGTCACGGAGCAGTAGAGACAGGCAAAGGAGTTGCAATAAAGAGAGGCGAGCAGACTTGTGAGAGAAAGGAACAACGAGTTGCGATAGAGTGAATAGATTGGAGCAGGCAGCAAGGAGGTGACCTTGGAAACTAAAACACGCAGGAAGAAGGCAGGTCGGGACAGCGTACTTGAAAGGTTCACGAAACACGCAACTCTAGAGTGAGATATTTTGGGAGAGTGGCCTGCGTGCACAAAGGTTAAAGAATCACATTGTGCCGCCGGTGGGCTTGCGTGGCCCAACCGTCTTTGATAATTTGCGAATCATTCCGTGTAACAGCCGTTTTAAGCTTTTGTTCATCTGGCACTCCGCTAAGCATGCCCTCCACATGCTAAGCCAGGTGAGGGAGAACAGGTTCTAAACACACAACGAATAGCGAATGATCAAAGCCAGTGTGGTAGCGCAAGTGCATGCACTAGAACGATACGACAATGATCCAGACAAGACACAGACTGAGTACTGTTGGCGGCCGAGGATGTTGGCGGATGGTCTGATCACTCTAGGCTAGTGATGCCAACGATAGTGTAACAAGATCAGCAATCAATAAGTGAAGGAAGACTAGTTTGACCGGCCTTCGAAAGATTGGTGGCAGTGTGAAAACACGGGCCTCGTCTGGTGATGCGTGATGCTTAGAGTAGCAGGGGGATAAAGGGAGTAGGGTTGTGTAACAATAAATGGTCGAGGAGAGCGATAAATGAGTGTGGAGACAGTGTTGGCTTTTAACAATAAGAATCTATAGACATCTTATCCATATCAGGTGTGTTCTTCGAATGGGTACCTGGTTGATCCACGATGGAGGTTTGGAAGGGTGAACAAGAGCGGTTGCACAAAAAAACATGCCATGCTGTTTGTACAGTGTATTTCAGGGGTTGTGTACATAATCCCCTTGCTCTGCGGGAAAGTGTACATTGGCCAGACGGGTTGTTGTTTAAATGATCGACTCGGAGAACATGCAACGTCCTTGAAGGTTCTCGCAGGTGGCACACACTTGTCAATGCGCGGCAGAGATCGTGGGCGCAATCTGCAGTTTGGCAGCAGGAGAATCCTGGGCGAATCTAAACACAGATTGACCAGAAAAATCATGGAAGCAGAACAGATAAGGGCGAAACACAAGCACGTGTATCAGTGTTCCTTCGGTAGCAATAAATGAAAAAAGGTGTCCTTTTTGAGCTGTTGAAATAGATAAACGTATACCTTCCTTTTTTGGGGGGGGGGGGGGGGGGGGGTGTGGCACGTTGAAGTGATAATTGGTTGCGCCTGCGCGTTTGTGTTCTCGTGCAATGAATGTTTTCTAATAAAAGTTCAGTTGTAAGTTGAGCGTCTTTCCTGTCAAGTGCCTTTTCCTTATACCTTGAGCACTCATATATTTCCACATTACTCTGTAGACCGTTGCTCGGTGGAGGGGGCGGTACCTTATAAAGGAAGAAGTTCACACGAATGGACAGTTGGTCCATTCTGCCATGGGTGGCAGGATGGCTAACATCACGGCTCGCGAATTACAAACACAACAGTGCCAGAATGGTCAGGAGAATGGTAAGCTTCTGTGGTCTGATGACTCAGAGGCACTAGCACTAGGAATGCATTCCTTGTGGGAGGAACACACACAACAGGGCTTCACTGGAAAGAGGTGCTTGCGTTCTTCTGTAACCCAGCATATGTGGATGCCGCGGCTAAGACGTCTGTCTTTGCACGCCGGGCACAGAAGCTTCCGATCCATTCCATGCTTCAGAGGGCCTGGGTGATGCAGGTGGTGGCATGCCATTGGTCCATTCTGCCACGGGTGGCAGAATGGCTAACATCACGGCTCGCGAATTGCAAACACAACAGTGCCAGAATGGTCAGGAGAATGGTAAGCTTCTGTGGTCTGATGACTCAGAGGCACTAGCACTAGGAATGCATTCCTTGTGAGAGGACCAGACACAACAGGGCTTCACTGAAAGGAGGTGCTTGCGTTCTTCTGTAACCCAGCATATGTGGATGCCGCGGCTAAGATGTCTGTATTTGCACGCCGGGCACAGAAGCTTCCGATCCAATCCATGCTTCAGAGGGCCTGGGCGTTGCAGGTGGTGGCATGCCCATGTAATCCAGCTTAGTTGGAGCCGCCACCTCTGATCATGCCCTCCCCACCTCCTAGAGGTCCGCCATGGGCAACATGTGAGTGGCCGCAAAAGCTCACACGGCTAAGAAGGAGGGAACAGCAGGGAGTCCGCCTCACCCTCCATCGTTCTCGTGGAGCTGTTCTCGCTGGCCTGGCGTCGCTATGCTGACGGTGGCAAACTAAGGATCGCTCGTCTGTGTAGGTGTCGGTGCATGATACCGGACTTGTGGCCCCAGTCGAGGCGCCTCACCAATGGCTTATAGGTAATCGAAAGTGGCTCACCAAGAAGTCGTTGAAGCGCCGACTCCGTTCACTATAAGCGATTAGTGGGTGTTCAGAGATGTCCTTTGTGCGATTTTGTGCCATTGAAATGTGTACAGTGGAAACCCGATCAAACATTTTTCAGCGGAACGGGTAGGAAAAACATAACAGCCGAGAAAATGCAAGAGCGAGGAAAGCTCCGAAAATGAATGAGAGCACAGACGCTTTGACTACAAGCAGTTTACTTCGACTAGGTGAGCCTAAGACTTAAAATATTTGAAGATAGTTGACTGCCGCTTCTTTCGCTCACTGGTAAGCACCAGGCATTTCTCAATGATCTGGAAGGCCGCATTGCTTTCAGCGTCGCTTTGGTGTGCGGCGTACCTGCGAAGGTAATACAGGGTCGCAACGGCTTCTCCAAAGTTGAGATCGGCTGACTCCTCTGCTAACTCTACAGAATCGTGTGGCTCGTGTTTGTCGCTGTCATCAATGTCCCCGTCTTCAGTTGCGATCAAGTTTGCAACGATCTCTGCAATTGTCTCGCACTTCGACGTCATGACGGCAGCATCCTCAGCGACGTAGTCGGCGTTCGTGGTACAGTGAAACCTCATTAAACCGTACCCGCGTAAACAGTAGTTTCGTTTTAAAAGTAGTGAAGTCAAATGCCCAACTCGGCAGCCATTGAACATAATGCATTTTGTATCCGCATAAGCCGTACCAGCTTGTCGCGTATGTATCGGTTAATAAGTAGTTTTTCCAATTTTCGTTGCGCACTCGCCGCGGCATGTCGTCCCCCACTGGGCGTCTCGACAGAACAGCAAGCACCAGAGATCGAAACACGCCTCACTTGTTTGTGTTGATGATGATGACGGCTGTGTTGGTGAGCGCCATCTCTTGGATTATTCTTCAACAAGAAGCACTTGGGCGGCTAGGCTTCTGGTGTTGTCAGCGCGATGGCGCTTTGCACAAACACGCAAACACGGTGTGCGCTTGTTTTGCTTTCTTTGTTCCTTTGGCGCCGTGCATAGGTGTTCTCTGGTTGCTCCGTGCCGTACAGCTTTCGCGTTGTTTTTCACGCGTTGTGTATGTGTGCTTGTGCTGCTTCGTACTTGCGTCATGCCGAAGCTGGGACAAAAGCATCGAGTGCTGATAATATAGGAGAACTTGGACATAATTCGTGCTATTGAAAGTGGTACGAAAAAATCGGCGCTGGCACGCGAAAAGGACCTGCCGTTAACCACGGTTTGATTGATTGATATGTGGGGTTTAACGTCCCAAAACCACTATATGATTATGAGAGACGCCGTAGTGGAGGGCTCCGGAAATTTAGACCACCTGGGGTTCTTTAACGTGCACCCAAATCTGAGCACACGGGCCTACAACATTTCCGCCTCGCCGTTAACCACGGTGTGTGGAGTTTGGAATCCAGAGAGAAGTTG